ACTCAGTCCAGGTCTCCCATGTGGGCGGCAGGAATCCAGTTACCTGAACCATCACCACTGCCTTCTCCTGTATTAGCGAGAAGCTGGAGTCAGGAGTCAGAGTGGGAGTCAAACCCAGGGACTCTTTGAAGAGAGATAGGCTTGTTATTTTGTTGTTGTTGTTTTTAAAATTTATTTGAAAGAGCAACAAGAGAAATACACACAAATAGAGAGACAGAGATCTTCTATCTACTACTTCTTTTCCCAGATAGCCGCAATGGCCAGGCCTGAGCTAGGCCAAAGCCAGGAGCCAGGAACTCTGTCCTGGTCTCCCATATGGGTGGCAGGGACCAAGTACTCCAGCAAACATCTGCTGTCTCCTGGACATTAGCAAGAAGTACGCATCCGCAGGAAGCTGGATCAGAAGTGGAGTGGCCAGGCTGTGAACCTGGCACTCTGATGTGGAATGTGGGCATTCCAAGCAGCATTGTGACGGCTGTGCCAGATGCCTGCCCTAAATGGGACTAAAACAGCTTCTCTCTGGGGAAGTGCAGACACAGCCATCCTTGAGCAGTGATTTCACTGGGCAGTGCTATTCATAATGACAAAATTTGGTGGAAAAACAATGTCTGGAAATTAGAGAGTAACAGCAAATTCTTACAGGCAGCTTGAAAATGATGATTTTGGCCGGCGCCGCGGCTCACTAGGCTAATCCTCCGCCTTGCAGCGCCGGCACACCGGGTTCTAGTCCCGGTCGGGGCACTGGATTCTGTCCCGGTTGCCCCTCTTCCAGGCCAGCTCTCTGCTGTGGCCATGGAGTGCAGTTGAGGATGGCCCAAGTCCTTGGGCCCTGCACCCCATGGGAGACCAGGAGAAGCACCTGGCTCCTGCCATTGGATCAGCGCGGTGTGCCAGCCACAGCATGCCGGCCGCGGCAGTCATTGGAGGGTGAACCAACGGCAAAGGAAGACCTTTCTCTCTGTCTCTCTCTCTCACTGTCCACTCTGCCTGTAAAAAAAAAAAAAAAAATTTTTTTTAAGGAATTTATAACAACATCAGAAGGTTTCAACAAGACAGAATATTAGGTATGGTCTTAATTAAAAAAGAAAAACAATTATACAGAAAATGTATTGGAAAGAAATATATCAAACATGTTTATGGTGATTTGGAAGACTTTAATTTTATTCCTTAAAACTTACAATGGTGCTGTGGTGCTGTGGGTCGAGCCTCCACTTGCAACACCGCATCCATTACTGAAGCGCCAGGTTGAGTCCCAGCTGCTTCCAATCCAGCTTCTTGCTAACGTGCATGAGAAGGCAGTGAGTGACGGCTCAGGTGCCTGGCTCCTACCGCCCATGTGGGTCCCATGTGGGAGACTGGGTGGAATCCCTGGCTCCTGCCTTCCACCTGGTCCAGACCTGGCTGTTGCAGTTGTTTGGGGAGTGAATCAGCGGATGGAAGATCTTGCTCACTCTCTATCCCTCTCTCTCAGTAACTCTGCCTTTTAAATAAATAAATCTTGAAAGAAAAAGAAAAAAATTCTACCAAATCAGTGTTACTGCAATAAGTTCATTTTTTTGGCTTTAACAAATGAATGCTTTTTCTTCTAGATTCTGGATTTATTTCACTTTCAAGATAAGTTGACAGCACGACAATTTCAGAGAGTTGCCACCACCACCTTCATAACCATGTCGAGAGAATGCCCGCAGTTGGCAGCAAAATACCTGCTCCAGCCAATGCTAGCACCTCTTCACCGATGTGTGAACACAGCAGGTGAAGAAGGGGGTCTGGGAGCTGGGTGGTTCGCCTCTCATGGATCTTCTTCTGCCTTTTCAGATTCAAATGATTTAGGTGTATGGTAGTTCAGCATCTAATTTCACTTTTCCCCCTCAACTTTTTATTTTGGACAATTTACTTCATGGAAATTTCAAGAAGAGTACGTTGGATCACCCATGAACACTTCCCCTAGGTTGACCAGCTGTTCACATTCTGACCACGCTTGTTTTCTTCATGTCTGTCTTCACACGTAAACCTGTTTTTCTTGGAGCACTTGACAGTTGGTTATAGAGATTGGGATACTTCAGCGTGCATCTCCAAAGAAAAGTGTCTCCTACATAACACAATGCGATGATCACATACGATACTCCCATCTGATGTGCAGATTCTATCAAATGTCTCTCAGTGTTCCAATACTTTCTTTTATAACTATGTTAAATTTTAATTTGCTTACTTTGTTGTTTGAGGGTCAGAGAGGCAGAAAAAGAAAGAGACAGGCAAGACAGCTGCTGTCTGCTGGTTCATTCACCAGATACCCATAATAGCCAGGCTGAGTCAGCAAGGAACTAAATCCAGGACTCCCTCTTGGGTGGCAGGAACCTAACTGTTTAAGCTGTCACCTGCCACCTCCCAGAATGCACATTAGCGGGAAGCTGGACTCTAGAGCAGAGCTGGGACTCAAACCTAGGCACTTCAGAATGGGAGGGGGTGACCCAACCAATGGTTAATCACTAGGATAAATGTCTGGCCCCATAGCTGCTTGTATCTTTATTTGAAAGGCAGAGAGACAGAGAGACAGATCTCTCATCTACTGAATCACTCCCTCAAATACCTAAACAAACAAGGCTGAGTCAGGCTGAAGCCAGGAGGTGGAACTCAATCTGGGTCTCCCGTGTGGGCAGCAGGGACCCAACCATCCAAGCTATCTTCAGTTTCCCAAGGTGCGCAGTAGCAGAAAGGTAGAATTGGGAACAGACCTGGGACTTGACACAGGTGCTCTGACATGGGATGCAGGCGTCCCCATAGGCGTCTTACCCACAGACTAAGCACCCACCCTACAGCTACTTTTTAGAACTCTAGGCCGGCACTGTGGCTCACTAGGCTAATCCTCTGCCTTGCGGCGCCGGCACACCGGGTTCTAGTCCCGGTCGGGGCACTGGATTCTGTCCTGGTTGCCCCTCTTCCAGGCCAGCTCTGCTGTGGCCCAGGAAGGCAGTGGAAGATGGCCCAAGTGCTTGGGCGCTGCACCCCATGGGAGACCAGGATAAGTACCTGGCTCCTGCCATCGGATATGCGCGGTGCGCCGGTCTCAGTGCGCCAGCCACGGCAGCCATTGAAGGGTGAACCAATGGCAAAGGAAGACCTTTCTCTCTGTCTCTCTCTCTCTCACTGTCCACCCTGCCTGTCAAAAAATAAAAAATTTTAAAAAATTAAAAAAAAAAAAGAGATTTGACTTACAGAAAATGTATTTCCTGAAGCATGCATTGCGGCACAGCGTGTTAAGCCACCACCTTTGATGCCTGCATAAAAAAAAAATTAAAAAAAAAAAAGATAAACTGAATAATCATTAACATTATCATGAAAGATTATAGATCCTATCACAAATTATTAGCAATATTACAAATTATGCTCTAATATAAAGTGCTTGCTTTGTATTGTATTATACTTGATATAATTTAATTATTATTACTAATTATCAAATATAATAACTGGTATTAGAATTCATTATCCATGTTACAAACTCAGTTTATCAATATAAATCATTAGCACTTACATTGTGAATTAAGTTATAATTACTAAAAGAAATTAAACTATCAGTACAAACATATTATCACAGATAGAAATTTTTACCAGGGTTAAATTAAGATTGCTAATATAAAATATGCTTTGAATTATCTTAGACTTCCTAATAGAAATTAATTATTACTAATGTCATTAGCATTCCAACTATTATAACTAATTACTAATAATAAAGTTCTGATTCCTAATAAAAATTATAGGTACTACTGTTATGAAACAGATTCTAGTTTCAAATAGAAATCAAATCATTGTTACTAAGACCATCAAAGTTTATGACTAATTTGCAAATTTTTACCAGTATTGCAGATTGTTTACTTATATAAATCATCACCAGTCATATGACTTAAATTACAATTAAATATCAACATTAAGCCAGCATTACCAACTTGATTAACCATTGATACTATTATTACAAATTCTCAACTGTATAGCAATTATGGTCATTGACATAAGTTAATAATGTTATAAATCAAGTTTAGCTACACATAAAGGTCAAATCGTGAGTTCTAAGGAAACACAATTTGTTTATCGTTATTATTAGTCTACATTCTTTGAGAGATAGTGTAGCAGAATATGATTAAGAACATGAACTCTGTAGCCAGAATTTCTGTGTGGGAATCCTAGTCCTATAACTTATTAGCTAATATAGAAAAAGTTACTTAACACTCTTTACCTGCTTACCCATGTGAAAAAATGTGGGTAACAATAGTTCCTGCCTCATAGAGTTGATGTGGGAATTAAGTTACTTAATAAATTTAAAGTGGTTAGAACAGTGCTTCTGGCATATATTAACTGCTACTGACATGTTGATGAAGTTCTCTTTCTAGTCCTAGTTGGTTGATTGTTTTTATGATGAAAGGATGTTGTACTTTGTATCAAATGCTTTTGCTATATTTGGTGACAAGATCATGAGGCTGTTTTCCTTTATTCTATGAATATAGTGTATTACATTAATTGATTTTCCTTTATTCTATGACTATAGTATATTACATTAGTTGATTTTCGTGTAAGTTGGTCAGTCCCCAAGTTTGTTTATGGTGTGTTTTAGATGTAGAACTTTGCATGCCTATACTAAATTTCAGATGATGATGGTGTAAATCCTTTTTATATGTTGTGGATTCAGTTTGCTAGTATTTTGCTGAGGATTATGGTATCTATATTCATAAAGGGTAGTTTTCTTATGATGTCTTTGTCTCGTTTTGGCTTCACAGAATTAATTGGACAGTGTCCCTCCTCTTCTATTTTTGGGAAGATTAGTGTTAATTCTCTTTAAACATTTGGTAGAAGTCACAGGTGAAGAGAACTGGTTCTGGGCATTTCTTTGTAGAAGTTTTTAAACTTCT